CTCTGTCCAAAAGGCAATTCAACGTGAAATTTCCTGCAGTGTTTACCAATCCCGAAGAAACGACGCGTGATTCACTTTTTGCTCCCAGCCACAACCTTCCTCAACTTCAACCCCTCCAGGAGAAGTAAGTTTCTGTTATGTACCCACGCGCCTTGATACACTCCCGTTTTGTTACATAAGGTCACCCCTTACGACCCTTTTGTATCTTAGTTCTAACTTCTCAGTCGTATGCGACGCCGTAGACGCCGTAGACGCAGTAACAGTTCAGACAGCGATCTGCCTCCGTCATCAGATCTTCGTGATTCCGACAGCCGATCGGAAAACCGGCGGTCACATGATCCGCAACGTCATCACAGCCGCCATCAACATCATCATCGTCATCATCGCTCGAGTATTCGTTGACCACAGTCCTCCGATGACACAGCCCCAAAGCCAGGCGATACAGAAAGAAGCGCCGACATTCTTGCAGTTTACATCTAAGCAGACTACCGTTCTCGCCCACTCTTTGTACATAATGTTCTGTTCCGATGTTTCTTTAGTAAAAAAAACACTATTTTCTGAATCTTCGATTTTGGGCTTTATCTTAGTCTCGCCTAACAATTTGCTATTCTGGTCTGCATCTAACGCTCCTTCATTTCGCAGTTCTTTACCGAGAATAATTCTATAATTAGTTCAGTTGCTACTTGGTGGTCGGCTGGGAGAACCACAGTGAAATGAGTTTGATGTTAAACCCGTAGGAGTGTGTCCCAGGGTCCTTATTGTGTTCGATTGTAACCTCCCCCCCCCGGCAGCGGATTTCCATTTTCGGCCTGAGTATTATCTTATTCCACTGTGCCAACTTTTTCCAGAGTTATATCTCACAACTGGTACCAAAAAACTTGCTTTACTTGGTCTTAGTAGGGCCTCAACTTTACAGATTTTGCGAACTGCAAGCGGTAACTGGCGTAAGGGAGTGGAGTTTTCGGGGTGGGGGGGGGAGGCGACCGGCCACTTCCTCTCGGCGCTTATGAAGACGATGAACTAAAGTGGTTTATGGTAGACGCGTGCACACCGATCGCCTTACGAGACAATTCTGTGTCCTGGAGGCTCAATCTCGAGACAGGCCAGCAGCGGCATAGCGACTAGTAGCACTATAGACATAGCGGCATAACCGACAAAGACAAGCGGGGCTGGAATGATGATTTATGGCTCATTGGATATCATCAGTCAGCTACACCCAACCACAGGTTGTCTGGGTTCCATCGCATAACGGATCACATGGCTATCCGTCTGGACTTCAGGCGCCGCAGCCTCTCCCAATCCACGGTATTTGCCGTTGGCCTGTGTGACTAGCATACACGCAAGAGCAATCTGTGCACGGTATGCACTTAACCACATTTGATTGCTGTTCTCTTGGGATAAAATCCTTTATATGTGGTAGAGCTGCGCGTCATGAAGATGCTGGTTTATGTGCGACGTGGATATCGAAACGACTTAACTGCCTGACGATTACTTCGGAATTTCCCTGCCTATAAGACAGAGATTATAATTTCTGTGTCGCAATTCCTCCGTTAGAGTTGAGGGTTTGCGGTTGTGCTTGACGCCTGAGGCGGTTCTTTACAAAACGGATCGGATATCCGTTATATCGTAACAACCGATACAGGTATGCAAGTTCTTTCTTGAGGAGATCTTCGTTGATGCAATAGTGATAGAACCGATGGCATAAAGTTAGGATGCAGCTTCTTTTGTGAGCAGCGGAGCGGTTGCTGTCCTATATTTGTCAGGTAACTTTCCCCGCACACCTCAGCTTATTAGCTCCTCTAGGGAATGTATATGAGTAACGATAAGTAGGAGCCCGTAAATGTCTGTGTTTGCATTGTCCACAGCCACAAGTGTATGAGTACATCTAGAGCAGTCCTGGGAGGGCAAGAACTATTGCTGAAACTTTGGTGGGACGCTGCTCCTTTCAACTGGTCCAAGCCTAGAATCTGCTCTATTTATTTTTTAGAGTCATCCAGCCATGTCTCTGCCGTCACCCGCCGCATGCACTCTTAATCAGAAGCCAAGCATCTGGTGAGCATTTAGCCTATTTGCTCTCATTTATGCACATAAGATGTTTTTTCACCTGTCGTTCAGACTGGCCTGCCTTTAGCAGCTGCAAAAGTGTTGAGCAGCCTCGACATATAAATTCTCAACGGTGTTCTGCGTTGTCTGTTAGGTTTTAGCCGACAGTTTGTAAGATGCTAGCTAATTATTTATTATCTGCTAGTATTGTCTTTGCGATAGTCAGCCAATATACAGCGGTCATTCTTTGGTATTTTGGCTGCATGCACGGTGTTGGGGGGGGGATGGTGATGAGGTTCAAATTCGTGACACGGTCGGTCTCATTTGACATCGTGTCTTTCACTTACGTCGACATAAATAGTGACAGTTTTAGTTCAGTTCAGTTCAGATCAGGGAAATATGGGTAAATACCTTTGAAATTCTTCTTTGTACATAGCTATGATGCAGAACATGTGGCGTTGCCAGTAATGGAACTGCGTCAGGAGGGTAGACAGTAAAAAAAAACTCCTTAGGCATTGTTCATACGTCTAGTTTTGAATGCCATTTGTGGGGTTTTAAGGAGAAAACCTGTCGCC